AACTCTCTATTATTTTTTCAAATTTAGTTGAAACATAAATACTTCTTGGTGAATATATAATAATGTAACCAGGCAAATATATCTGGTAGTTTACATTGATTACAACAAGCGTTATACTATACTTGACACACGAAGCTTGCTTCTTGAAAGGCTTCTTTTGATACCACTCTCGTGCACTTAGTAGATGTGACAACCAGCCAAGCAGACTAATCGAGGTTACCACAACCTCGTAGCTTCAAACTTTCAGCACTGATACTTTCTTCAATTTTTCATTTACTCCCTTTTCTTGTTAAAAGATTTTTAAAAGCTTTCCTAATAATCTGTATCATTTGTTTATTTATTCAATCCATCTTTTTCCATTCAAAAAGACAGTGATTATCCAATACCAACCATTTTACCAAACTCTTCCACCTTCCGAGCTTCATTTCATTCGAAAAACCCTCTACTTATTAACTAATATTTGTTGAAATATTATTTGCAAACTGATCAGTTGATGTTCGCCACATTGTTTACTATAAATGATTGGATATCCGATAACTGGATTGAAGAGATCAAAAAATGTATGATTGTTTATTGACTTGATGTAAAAACGGTGGAAAACATCAAACAAAATAAATGTGTTTGCGCTAGTGGAAATGAATGCCGGACGATGCTAGTAGGTATGGCTAGTAACCAGTCAGACGAATCGGGGTTAGTGCGGCCTCGTAGGTTCAAGCTTGCAGCTGCAGCTTGCTGTAATTTCAAAGTATCATCGTTTGAGATGTATGAAAGACATCACGGTACATTACTTTCCCTTTATCATCCACTTTTTATTTACCAAGTTTCTGCAAAGCACAAAAGAAAGTAACATATTGGACATTTCAATTAAATTGAATTCTATTTAAAATGAATAAGGCAAAAAATAAGTCCTTCATTGATTGTGAAATGTATTACTGTAGTAAAAACAAAAACTATGATTTCAATCAATGATTTCATAACGATACTTTCCCTTCGATCTCTCTCACAAGTCACATGATCTTCAACAATGCTATTATATGTAGGAGATCTGGAGGTTTAGTTTCTGAGTAATTTGTTCAGAGGATAAAAATAACTTCAAAGACTTATATATTCTTACATAAGTGACCAGATGTATCATAAACAGTTTAATATGCTAATAATCTATTATTTATTATCGTTACTGTAGCTCTAACAAATACGATCACAAACTACTCTGTAGTCGATCGTATTATCTAGATCCTCCACTCTTCCGGGTCTTTGTTATTGCTTTCGTTAATATATAAAAAATATTTTTACAGTGCAAAAAATTCCTTGTAAAGTCATATTAAAATTTTAACACCCTTTTTAATGATGATTTATTTCATTTCCAAAAATATTATTTCATCCAATAATAACAGATATATAAATGTTTGGATTCATCTATAATGAAATAAACCTTTCACTACTTTTTTTTTCTAAGATTTTGTTTTTATTTGCAAATAATCGACACATCAATTGAAATAAATTTTTTTCATCAAGTCAATGAACTCAATTTATTTTCAATAAAAAATTTTTATAAGATTTTTATTTGTCCTCTTAGTTGGTCTGTGGAGGCGATTTTCTACGCCATAAATAATTGTAAAAATAATAAAAATGTGCTACTTCTTTTTTATTTATTGTATAAAAGAATAAAACTCAATTCTTCTTTTTCGATGACAAACGAATGGAATTTTGTCATTTGAGTACATTGAACTCTAATAATTCTTATCAACATACTGATAGAAAATTTATTGATCATTATTATCATTAGCTTGGCTCTGATTTACAAAATTTCGATATTTATAGCTAGCTCACCTCACAGACGAGCCATTAGACGATCTCACCGTCTGTGACGGTAAATCTACGAGCGTCGTAACAATAAATCTTTTAGTCTCGTTGCCTCGTAAAGCCAAGTTCTAACTCGTACTTTGCAGTATGTCTTTATTGGCTATAAACAATTTGTCTGAGTTAATTTACAACATTAGACAATAGTTAAATAATTCATCTCTACAACTTTTGAATGTCTTATTGTTGATTTTATTGAGTTGACAGTTGACAGATAAAATAATAAATTTATGACAAAGCAAACTGCATACTAATATATACATAGATATTTTTCATTTCAAATTGATTTTAAAAATTACTTTTAAGTGGAAAATAAATTTAGTCATAATAAACTTGAAGCTGATGACTGCTCTCATATATTTGTTTGAAATAATGATAATCCATAATCAAACAAGGTCGAATCGCAATGCGTCTCACACGATTTGGACGTCGTTGTAGAGTCATACGCCCACGTCATGCATTTCTTTTGCTCATTCAATTTATGATGCTAGACCTTATTCGTAACATATATTGTTGCTTTCTTTGTATGTATACATACGCAAGTCTTCTGTCTTCACTTAAATGCTTTTTTGTTAAAAAAAAAATAAATATCACACGAAAGAATAATAAAATTAGGCAAAGAAATTGGTTGGTAAAAATATAATACAAATTTTGAAAATATCCCAGTGGCTAAAACCTGTCTTAAGAACATCAAATAATTTCATGTTTGCTCGGCGGAAACCATTCATAGCATTCAAGATAATCCAGTGCTCATGTATATAAACAAGAATTTATTAAAAATACATTTTTTTATTAATTTTACTGAATTAAACCTTCTTTTATAATTTACGTTTAATAATAAAGGTCATTTTTTCTGATAAAAAAAAAATCTCTTGTAAATAATATTCAGATTTTATGATTAAATAATAGAATTTTATTAAAAATCGATCCTTCAAAATTTACTCACACGAGAAACTTATATTTTGTATGTCTTTTTTCTTGGCTTAAGCAAGTTTTTTATTTCATCTGAGCACTGATGAAAAAATGATAGTTATGATGGGAAGCTTTTCGAAGAAAACTCTCTTGGAGAAATGGTTGTCACATCTTGGACTTTTCAAACTTTTTGATGGAATTTATATGACAGAACTTTTCGATAGAAAAATATCGTTTATAACAAATACATAACAGCATTTTGCAGTAAATGTTTTCGAAAAAAAATAATAAAAACTTGGCTTATTGATTTTCAATAAAACAAGTCACTCCATGGCTACCTGTCCTCTTGAAGAGCAATTTCGTATAGCTTTAGTTTTCAGGAACAAAAATATATAATTCATCAAAATCCAAGTAATTTATATCTATAAACTGTCTCTCATTTTTCTGCACCAACACAAACTAGTTCGCCTTCGAATGATAGTTGGAATAAAATAAAGAAAGATTGCACCAAATTAAATGTACATATTTCATAGCTGTCAAGACTTAATATTCCATGAATCTAAGGAATAGCTGTTGAAGTGTATAGAATAGTGAGATTGGTAATCCGTGAGTGAGTAATTTTGATCAAAAAGCTCGTGCACATTGGAAGAAATGAGCTCGGCTGGTTGAAAAGAGTGAGAAAAAAGAACGAAAGGGTACTATGAGTTCAACGAACCTCTTGGACTTTTAATTGCACAAACCGTCGGCTCGTACTTTTTTTCCTTCTCGAGGCGGCGTTTTATTAACGATTCTCAACGCGCCTCTGATCCAATAAACTAGGTAATATTTTGGCTGGAGGAGTTGTTGAATGTAGCCGACGCTCGTGCCAAGCGTCACACTGGCGAGTGTTCGATATACAGTGACCAATATAAACATATACGTATTTTATTTACATATATGCATACAAGTAGTTACATGTACACTCTATATACAATACAACATGCGTTTTAAGTCGACAGAGATTCTTCCCGTAAGCGCAAGTTCACTGAACTCCATGACGTCGTGATACCGCCATTGCTGGGAATTTATTATCTCCTCGTGTCGAATGACGCTTCGTCTTTTTGTGTATTGCCCTCCCGTCACGATGCGCTCTACTAGCGAGTAGTTCTTCTAATTTCATTCGCCAACTTCACACTACGTCAGTTATGCTCCAAGATCATTTGTCATGGGAACAATACCCAGGTAGGTTTTCACCATATCATCCAGCATCAACCACCACTCATCATATCAACACCACACACATTTCATTCATTGTTTCACTATTTTCATCAATTGACTATTCTAGTTCAAATTTCATTATCGAATGCATTATTTTCTATACGTTTTTCGGGTCAAGGATGATTCATTAACTCGAAAGACAGACTTGTGTGTGATGTAGTATTTGTCGTGAAATCATTTCCCTCTTATTTCTGAAACAGGTCTTTGTGTATTCTCGGGAATTCGTTAGAAAGTTGTGCACAGATGTGACGAACATGGTGAGACGCCACAAGTGAAGATGTTACCGGTTAGTTAGTTTTTGTCTTTTCTTTTTGTTTCAACTACTCCAGCCACTTCACCACGCAATGAGTTTTCCAACACTTTTAAGTGGATGTGTTCAGAATATATTAAAAACTTTCAGTGTTTACTGTAATTATTATCGTACACAAGACTGAAAAAATATTAATTAAGTTATTATCTTCAATATGATTTGTTTTTTAATACAAATAAAAAAATTTTTTTTTTTTTAATAATCTGTTATTTTGTTGATTTATTCAGAAATCAGCTTGTCAATCAAGATAAAAGAAAATACTGTGACCCACAAACAATCTTTCATTTTTCTCTAGTCATTGAAATTTGAAATATCAATGAAAATGAACCAAGTGTTACTGATACTCGCGAGATACATTGTAATTATCTGTTAATGAATAATATATATAATCAGCAAAGGCCATTGTTAATCATCGACATTAGATTATATATTATTACATCAGTCGAAATTACAACTGTCTTAAATTATCATCAATATTATTTTACAGTCAAATATTTTTGGTGAAATTCATTTGAATGTTGTAAAAAAAAAAAAAAACACATTGACAATGACAAAAATAATCGATTGCAGAATAAAGAAGAGGTACATGGTATCTTGTATGATAAAATTCAAATGAGAAAGTCAGTGACATGAATTTTACCCTTAACTTTTTTATTTACAGAGTGGAAAGCTCAGCGCTGCAATTGGTGTGTCCATTGGATTCTCGTCCGGTGCAGCTGGTCTTCCGGGGACTGCAGGTGTTCAAAGAGAAGCGCGTTCTCCTTCGCGATGTTTCCGGGGTGGTCAAACCGGGTGAGCTCTTGGCAGTCATGGGACCCTCAGGTATTATTTCATCTCTGCAAGCCCCTATTTCATCCCAAGAGTCCATTCTTCTCAACTTCTTCACGAGTTTTTGTACCCAAAAAACTTAACGGAAATTGGTGAATTTAATGGTGGTGCATTCAAGTGCCTATGCATATAACTTATAATCCTTTGAGGGATCTACTTTTATTATAGTTTCTTTTGAAATAATTATTTTGACCAATTATCTGCAGGCTTTCTCTACTCCATGACCAACTCTGAGAGCTCTTAAGCTTCAAAAGACATAAATCATTGAATAATTACACGAACCTTTAAAAACAGCATACCCAATCACTGGCAATCAACTCATATTTCTATATGTCAAACACTCCAAACAGTTCCTCATAAAATTTATTTAACAACTTATGAACATGTATATACTGACTTAATTCTTATTCTCTATCCGAAGGATGTGGAAAGACGACACTTTTAAATTGTCTGTCTGGACGAGTTGGTCTAGACGGTGGAGAAATCTGGCTAAATCGGGAGAGATTGACAAAACGATGGCGTCGAAGAATTTGCTATGTGCAACAGCAAGATGTTTTCTTTCCTGATTTAACCCTACGTCAAACATTAGAGGTAAGTATCTTTAATATAATCTTCCTTATTTATTTACTACATCTTTTTTTATATTAATTATTATTGATTGGCAAAAAATATCTTTTCGATATTAGACTTGATATAAAATAAATCAATTGACGGAAGATATCAATGAATAATTAAATATTTAAACATCTATTTCACTATTATTATTTAGAGGATATCAAGTCGATTTCTTTTAGAATTTATTTTAGTGTCATTGCCATTAGAAATTATGAAAGGATATGTCTATTAAACAAGCCGGATATTTTATCATATTTAAACGTCAGTTTTAAATATTTTATTATTAACTTAAAGCCATAAATTAATCTTGGAAAATCTATTAATATTTTTATATAAATAAATGACTATTATCTATTATTAAATATTTGTAATTATAAATTCAATAAATATGTTGTCCTTAAAAAAAATGAATAAATATCTATTCGCATATTTTTATGAGTAATAAAATCGTCTGGGATAGAAATGTAATGAATAGTATAAGATCAATAATGAATATTAGAGATTTTATGACGGTGGAATTATGGTAATGAAGTGTCCTCACAAAACTGTGTGCTGAAATTGGCGAGTCTAACGTGTTATCGGGTCACGATATCTTATGCCGAACGTGTGAAAGCATTAGAAACCAGGAAGTAGACAGACAGTGATATTCTTTAGAAACAGAGACTGGTGACCCAAAATTCCAAACGAAAAGTTTTGCGAAATAATTGAGTAATACAAACTACCATAACAAAAGAGAAACGAGAATGAGTGATTGAAGTTGGTAAGATTCAAAAGACGTTCATCTATTGGTGTAAGAGTAAGTGCGTGTGATCTATCGATCAATAGGTGTAATGAGTGAGCGCAGAAAATCAAATTGCGTGCGCTAAGTGATTCTGCGCAATTCATTGGCATCCTGTGGCATCGACCGTTACGCACGCCGCTCATTTATGAGAGGGGAGAGAGCGTGCGCATGTGACGTCATAACTCGGTCAGTGAACCGTGCGTCTTACGTGTTTCAAAAACGTTCGGCGCCGTCTATATACACTAGTACGTTGCCGCATAATGCCTCCACACCCGACACGCGGTTCAATCGAAGAGAAGAGAGGGCAAGTTCGGCCCGAATTACGAGGTCCCGAATATATGCACAAAGAGAGAGAGAGAGAAAGGAAAAGAAAAAAAACATACGACAGACCAAATGTATATGAGAGGGATATATACATGTATATATGTACGTGCTTTCTACCCGAGAAGCCTGAACGGAGGTCGGCAGAATAATTTGCAGGGTGAACCGTGGCAACGACTTCTTATGCGCCGAATAAAGCCCGGATAAAATATACGACCTCCGTACAAAATACATCCGCGTTCAGAGGAATACATGAAAGAAAAACACTAGATAATAAATATCACACATTTATTTCATCTGATCGATTGAATTATCAATGACACTTTGTGTCGTCGTGGCCAAAATCATGCGAATTATTTCATAGAACTCATTAATAAAAGAATAAGGTGCTCTAAGTATAATGTAAGGACATCATTGAAGGATTTTATGTTTCATTTACATCGGTAATCTTGTCATTGAACTCGTCAAAATAGGACAAAAAGTTTCTGTAATATATTCGACTTGAATAAAAATATTTACTTTTGCTGTTGAAATTTTTTTTAAGTGTTGAAATAAATATTAGCTCGTCAGTATTTTTTATCTAACTATCTTGTTCACCTTTATGTTAAAGAATTAAATTTTTTGAAAATGTTTTGTCTAAAATTTATATGATTGAAGTTCAATTTTAAATGTCATTGCGAAATATTGCAGTAAAGCTGTTTAATTTCATTGCTACGAAATCAATTGTAATTAATATTATTTTAAATTGAGTTTATTGTATTGTTGTATTTGATTAAAAAATATTTTCAATTATATAGATATCCTATTGATACGGTAGACAACCTTTGTCATTTATTTTGACACAGTTTTCAACAAGTTTAAACGTCAGAATTGATTTTACCGATTATACCTAGAATAGCTACATGACAGATATAACAATTGTATATAAAAAGTTTATTCGCAATGTCTCATTGATCCTAAATATCTAATTTATATTTGTTCTCATTTTTTCTGCAGTTCTAAGGACATTGATGAAACATATTTTTTCTTCTACATTACTAAATATTATTTTTTCGCAAAATTATAAACATAATAATTTTTTGCAAACCATCTCGTGTGAGCATAAGAGTCGTCCAGGATTGCGAAATAAACGGGCAAGATATTTCGAAAGAACCGGGAAAAGAATTTGAAAGGAATAGAGTATAAGAGTGGGAACCAAGTACTACAGAAGTGCCTGAATAGTCCCCTCAAATAATACACATCTGACACGTGTGAACATGTGTCTCGTCGAAGAAAGTCCAGTTTGCGTACGTGCAAACTGACACACAAACGATGGACACTTAGGTGTGGCAATGAGTTTTGCTATGGTTCATTTTATCCCTCGCAAAAAAAAGCAGAAAAAAAAAAGATACAACAAAGAAGGAGAGAGCGAAAAAAAATTAAAGTCCTCAATCGGTATTAGCGTGTAACGGGAAATTTTATAGCCGAATCTTAAGAATATTTGAAAAATTCATCCTCGATTTGTGTTTCAAGGATATCATTAAATAATTTCTCAAACTTTACGATCGCTAAAATATGATTTAAAGTAAGTTTTCGATAATAAAATTTGAAGAAAAAAAAAAGCCACAATTGCTGAAGATAAAATAGCCATTTATTCGTTTAGCGGTGAATGTAGTGATTGTATTTTTTCTACGAATCGTATCACGAACTCTAATAAATCGAAATTAGGGTTCGAGAAACCCCGTGACGAGGCACAAAGAAATACGAGGATGAATTAAACTCGGTCGGATTAGTTGGGGTTAAGTCGTTCGCCTGTTGGGCAGACTTACAAGGAGAATGAGTCTATATTGGTCAGACATGGGTTTTAAATAATCAATCTTCTACTCGGAAATGTAATTACATCACTGTAATTACGGAATATTTACTGTTGGATCTCGGATTATTCAATAGGCATTAAAGTCTCATCATAAACTTGAACAGCTTTTCCTAAAACTATTTAAAAAAACATTAAAGCTTTAAATTTTTTCTCGAAAAAATGATTTATTTTTGTTCGCCATTTTTTTCAAGGATAATTCAAGCAATTTTTTGTAACGGTATTCATTCATATAAACTTATTTACAACCATTAAATTAAAATGAGTCATATTATTTTAAATAATATATAAATTAAATTTTTTATTCATCTCCTGAAATTTACAAATGTTGAGATTAAAAAAAATTCGTTTCAACTCATTATTTATTTCAAAATTAAACAAAGCTTTACAAATGTAACACTCATTATTTAACTCAATTAAATAAATGGAATGTTTTTGGCAATCCTTATAAATAAAGCATTACAAACATTATCCAATTAAAGAAAAGAAAAAAAAAGATAAAATAAATGTGAAAGTTTAATGGCAGAGTTTTTTTTACGAATAAAAAGAATTCTAGTGCAAGGACGAAGCATATGTATGTGAGTATATGGGTGTGAGTTTGTCCCAATTTTTGTAATGGATGGTCAGACTGGGCCAAGTCTCTTCTGATACACACAAAGAAACGGGACATCACGTAAAAGACGTATAACGGCACCTTCCTTTTCGTCCGGCACATCAGCACGCCGGAAGAGAAAGAGAGATCATGACTGTACAAACGCCCAACGATTACTCGAACGAACGATGACCATCACGCGTAACTGTATCCTCTTGTCTCTCTTTTTACCGTAGCACACGCTAGTAACGAAAGGGCAAGTGAGTATCTTTCATTTTAAAACTACCCATTCGAACATTCTAAAACCGGTAACGATCGATGATGGTATTTTAAATTCTGACCGGGTCATCATTGCTGAAAAGAAAAAAAAAGTAGACAAAGAAATGAATGGGAAGAATAGCTCATTTTGATTTTTAATTCATTAGGGTAAATTGCGAAACTTGATGGCTTTTTTATATTGCTCTTATTTGAAAATCACTTTATATAGATTCTTTTTCTTTAGAAGAATAGATACAGTGATTAGTAATAAAAAATAAATTGCATCTTATTAGCCTTTTATTACTTTTTTTTTTATTTAATAATCGTTTCTATAGAATTATTTTTCCTTATTCAATTATCTTTACCATTCAGCCAATTTTTCATTTTTCAAGTTATAAATCATTTTTTCTATAACTGTAATTATGCATATTTTAGAAAACAATATGGTGATCATTTGAATATATGCAAATTTATTCTGTAAAGAAACTGTAATGAATGAAACTTGGTGCTATTTTAGTAGTTTTTATAAATTAAGTTAATGTCTCTTACTAAATTGAAAAAAAAATTATATATTATATTATTTATAATTTATTAAATTATAAAAACATAAGATTGATCTTCTAAAAATATAAATAATAAAATGCAAATTATTTACGTGAAAGAAAGGATATTTGTCATGAGTATTTATAAAACCTGTAAGTAGGTTATTTTAGACTAATTTGTTTGATAAACACATGATTGACGCTGAAAATATAACAAGGAAACGATATGTTTTAATTTTAGTACCAAGCACGGCTAAGGCTTCCGGATACACTTTCGCACGCGCAAAAGATGCAGTGCGTGGATCATATCATTGAGGTTCTTGACCTCGCCGGCTGTCAGGATACAAGTAAGTACCCAAACTCAGTAATAAACCAAACGTGCTTCGACATTTAGATGCTGTAACTTGGTTCTCTTCAACTGTATTCCCCCCCTTTTTGCTATCGCATCAGCTCACAAAAATGAGAACGCAGTAATGTAAAGTAAGCTGCAACTTAAAGAACTTCAGACCATCATTGCTTTAACTTCTTGACATTTATTATGATGACTGAAGTTTCGAAAAAAAATTCACTAATAATGTTGTATTTTATTTATTTTAGTTATTGGAGATTACACAAAACGAGGCCTCTCTGGTGGAGAGAAGAAGAGGACTAGTATAGCCTGTGAATTACTCACTAATCCTTCATTAATGTTGCTTGATGTAAGCATTGACTTGATAAATTTTCTTAAAAATAATCTATCAGACTTCTGACTGATTAAAACAATGAATTCTTAATGCTTTTATCCCTTGTAAACAGTCTCATTTTCTTAAACTTCTCTTAAATTTACTTCACTACAATTTACATTTCAAGAAGTTGAAGTGTAAAATTATACTGTTAAATCAACCATGAACGCTTTGCACGTATACCTGGGTTTATAAATTTATGGATCGAGGAGAATGTACATTATGTATATTTTTACATCATCCAATCACTCTTGATTTTAAAGTTAATTTCTACTATTCATTTATAAAAAAACATATGCATTAATTAATTAATTGATATGATCTAAACGATTCGTTATCATGACTATTTAAATCAGTTACTTACCATTTATTAAATGACTTGTAGGAACCAACGAGTGGGTTGGATTCGCATTCAGCACAAGCATTAATCTCTAGACTGAAGAAATATGCAGAACAGGAGGGTAAAAGTATCGTGGTTACCGTCCATCAACCAAGTTCACGGATGTTTCATAGTTTCAGCAAACTTTTGCTACTTAGTCGTGGCCAAGTAGCATACTATGGCTCGACTGCAAACATTGGAAGGTTTTTCGCAACCATCGGACTTACTTTACTTCCTCATTACAATCCAGCAGATTTTATCCGTAAGTACTTGGAATGTTTGTACGATTAAAACTTTTAAGTTTACAAATGTGTGTACAGGTTAAGCTTAAAAGCGTATCAAATTAATGGTTTATGTATTTACTAAAATAATTATTGGAGCTCATAAAAATGTAACTGTACTACCAACTTTGGCTCATTGCAGTGGAGCAAATAAAGGGGCCGGAAGAGGTGAGAGAACGTATTGTTGCAGCAGCAAGAGCTGCAAGACAGGGACCAGACTGCCCACCGGAACTTCGTCCTGAATATAATCCCAGTCAGCATCCGCTTTGTGATCATCTCATCCATTATCACGAGCATCACATTACCCACAACGGTACAGATCAATATTTAGAGCGTTTATTTATTAGTTTATAAATAGATGAATTGAACAACTGATGTAAACATTGAATTATAAATAGAGTAGATACTGGTTATTTTTAGTTGATAATCATAGTTGTGGTGCTAATAAAATTGATTTTCCATTAGTGAAAGAAGATGAGGGTCGTACACTTTGGCTGGACACTCAAAGTCATGCTAGTAGTAGTGCTAGTTCAGCAGACGATGATTACTCCTGGCAATGGCCCACAAGTTTTTGGTCGCAATTCAAAGTAAGTTATCGTGCATTACGTTATTCTGATATCACATATGTCGTCATTTCAACATTTAAATCATGCAAATTATCGCCATTATTTATCGTGAATATCATCAAACTATTTAAGAGCTTTTATTCAAATGTAATTGAAGTCAATTACATTGATTATTAATTTAAATGTATTACCATAGTTCAAGATAATTTCAATTTAATTTTAATTTTTAGGTATTATCCGAAAGAAACTTCCAAGAAGCTCGGCCACGAATGTTATCACGGCTCAATTGGCTTCAAACTATTGCTCTTGGTATCTTAGCAGGGCTTCTTTGGCTACGATTACCTAGGACTGAAGCTGCATTACATGATATTCAAGGCTGGATGTTCTTTAGCACAACATACTGGATGCTGTTTGCACATTTTGGTGCTCTCTCCAGTTGTAAGTTATCATTTATAAATGAATTCTTAATTTATTATTTGATAACAGATTTATCATCATTTTAATTAAATTTTTAATTAACTAAATTAGCTGAAATAATAATCGTAAATAAATTTTTCAGTTCCTCCTGAACGCGAGGTTATTAACAAGGAACGTCTGTCGGGGTCATATCGACTTTCAGCGTACTATTTGGCAAAAATGGTTGGCGAATTGCCATTGACCATAACTCTTCCGGCAGTTTATCATATAATCAGCTATCCAATGCTAGGATTCCACAGTCCAGCAGTTTTTATCACGCTACTTGCCTTTTTGTTACTCAACACAATTGTAGCGCAGGTACTTATCATTTGAATTATGCAAAAAATTTTCACATTTATCTCAAGCTTTTATTTTATTTTTTAAAAATGATTATTTTGGAATTACAGAGCGTAGGCTTCTTCGTCGGTGCATGCTGTCTTGATCTTCAGGTAAGCATCACAGCTTCAGCGCTTTACACTCTGGCTACACAACTATTAGGTGGCTACCTCGCAACCTCTGTGCCACCGTGGCTTGCATGGGCACGTTATACTAGTATGGTGCACTATGCCTACCAAAACATGCAGATACTAGAGTTTGGTGTCGGCGATCCCATCAGGTAAAGATAACTACTATTTACCTATTCAAATATATTTTTTTTTATCACGCAAACTCTTATATTATTAATCACAATTCTAAATATATATTTTTGTTTGACCTAGTCTAAATTTTGTTGATCACCTGCTAACTAAATCTTTCATAAATTAAGAACTTCAGACTAAAAAAACTTATTATTTATTAACAGAATAATGAATTTCGAAAGTTATCTCTCAGCTGTTTGGATTAATGATAGATAGTGTCCAAGAATTAATTATTGAAAGATCATTAAAAGTTATCTTTAAATTAAAATGAATAATTGAAAAACTAATATAAACTTTTTGATTTAATAGCTGTTCTCAACCAAGCAAATTCCCCGAGTGCAGAAATGGAACGACGATACCAGTATCTGCAATACTCGAGAGCCAGGGAGGTGTCAGAGGTTCTGGTCTACCTCTATGGGCAAACACAGCAGTACTGCTAGCATTTCTGGTGGTGTTCAGAAGTCTTGGTTACCTAGTTCTACGCTATTATCGAGTACCCAAGTAAATACGCAACAAATCGACCACATAGTATGCAATTTTTTACATCATTCTTTATAAATCTTTAGTTAATATTATTATTATTAATATTATTACTATTATAATTTTATCGAATGATCATTTTATATTATTACCAGTAAATGATAAATATTACTAGGCACACGGGTTGCACCACTTTCATTATGAAATTTATAAAAGTTATGAATAATTATAATAATATAGATGATAATTATTATAATTATTGCATATTATGGAACATGAAACTGGTAATTTTTTTACTCAGATGATACTCAAGTCTATTTTTCTGATATACGCACATATTTTTAATTACCTGGCCACATATTTTTGACAACCCGTGTACTTGATAGTATTCAGCAATACAAATTTAAATGCAAGACTAAGATGACTTGGCGAAGAAGACTATATAATGTATAGATATTTTATACAAACAATGGAGCAAATGAAAGAAAACGTGAAAATGAGATATAAAACATTGTGTAACTGATAACAAAATAGATATGAATGAATGTTGTATGTGTATGAAAAGAAAAGATACAAAAGAATTTTTTTTTCTTCTTTTCTTAACATTTTTCAACATAGATACGAAAAATAACACTGATTGTAACAAAAAGAACAAATAGCATAATCTACCAACATTAACAAGACACATGAAGCCAAGAGGAAAGGGAAAAACTGTGATCCCAAATTGCATGAAAAAGTCAATTAATTTATTCAAATTTGAATATCAATCATTTCTCTTTATTTTATTACATACAAGATCATGATTTATATTTATTTTATAGTTTATAGTGGCTGGCTGCGTAGAAAGCCATGGAATAGATTCTCTTATTTAGAAGCATTAAAAATTGTTAAACACAAATCAGTAAAATGTAAATGAATAATGTTATGATGAATTTAATTAGATAAATATTTGAGTAAATAAAACCATAATGTCTTCATACAGTTATTAGGTATTAGAAATATTCAAAAATGAATGGAGCTTTTTCATGCTTGTAAGAAAAACTCAGTTTTTGCATTGATGAAAATATAATTGACTGAAGAATTTTTATGAACAATGAACATTTTTATGGGAATCATAAAACATACTAATAATTAAGACGATTTTACACAAATAACTTTTAAGTATAATATTATTTTATATATCATTAATTACTTTTTAATTAATGCTGCTATTACTTTACTATTATTTTAAACATTATAATTATTACGATAGTAATTATAAATAATTAGTTAATGAATTCATTGATTATAATCAACAATATAGGTTTTTTTATTGTTTTATAATCGACCATTACGTCTTTGATAGAAAAAATAACGAAATTACTATGCTGCCAATAATTAAAGTAAAACAAAAAGTTGACATAAACTAAAAAAATTTGTACAGCGAGAAATATTGCAATTAAGTTAATAGTATAATGGATAATTTTCACTGTCATCATAATATTGACTATACAGTGGAGATCCAAATTTTATATAAATATCCAAGCGTGTTCCTTTATACATATTAAAATAAAAAAAACTAAAAGTAAAAAAAAAAAAAAAACATTAAGAAAAAAAATCGATACAAGTGAGACTGATGTGAGACACACGATAAAATGACTGGTAAAAAGCCAAGAGGAAAGAGATAGACTTGGTAATAACTTGATTACAAATCCCCGTTTTTATGTAGAGTAATTAATAATATGGTAATTAATGAAATAAACAAAGTAAATGACCATCGGGAAGAGTAACCGAGCGAAAACTCTATACCATGTATATAGAGAAATATTTACACGCATTTATCATGTCTAATGGACTAAATAGCGGGGAATAGCGCTTTATAATATATATAAATGCTATAAAAAAATATTCTATATGCATGTGTTTTATATACATCTATAAAACATTAACTAATACCACTGATATCGCTATATGCATTGTTATTTACTTCTTTCCTCTTCCGAGTCGCACAGTCAAAAGAAGCCAGTGTTTGTTATATTAAATTAATAATTAATATAATAGATAATTACTATTATAACGTTGTAATGTATTATGAAGGAAAGTGTTGAACACTCAGTCGCTTTAAATAAATAAATTCTGGCAGACTGATTGCGATTATGGTCCAGGAATTCGATTTTTTTATTATACATCTTCGAATTTTGCTGTTCCTATCGTGTTTTGGAACGCGCATTTATTTAGAAAAATGAAGTTATGGATAAAGAAATGGTATGGATGTATTTATTACTCGTCAATTAACGAGATAGTAAAGTTATACAAATTGCAAGATCCACCAAGTGTTCAATGAAATTGATTAATTGAGAAAAGAGGAAGGAAGAGGTTGCTACAGGTAGACGAAGTCTTTGTTTGAAAATATAATAAATAAATATATAGAAAAAAATAACAATGATGATAGATAAATAAATAATAAATGGATATCATAGATAAATTGGAAAGGTATTGCAAAAAAAAATTATTGAAAGATAAATTGATGAATTTAAACAAAGATTTAACTGTGTCAATGTCTAATAATTATTGTTAATTGGAAACTTCATTGGAATCATTTATAGTCGATTTTTTTCTCCTTCTAATGCAAAACCTAGTGTTTTAAAAGTATAAATATAAATTTATTTGAAAAAATTACATAAATATACTTTTCATTAAATGTTGAATAGGAAAGAATTAAAAGATTGAATATAAAGTAACGAAAAAATATCAGAAAATTGAGGGAAAAATATAAAAAATTATCTAGCTAATGATTTCATTTGGAAAAATATATATTAGATAAATTTTTCGACAGTCAAAAATTTTTCTTCTATTTACTTTAGAACGAGAATTAAACAAAATATGAATATTGAAACTATTTCTTAACATACATTGAAAATGATAAAAAACATTTAAGCATTTTATTCAACAAAAAAGGGTAGATAACTTAATGAAATATTGTACGAATGTTTGTTTAAAACTTTTATACGTGTATTGTACAGAATATTGCCTACAACAGTGGACCCATTTTTACGCTTTTACAGACTTTTACAACCGCTAATCGGTCTTTTGAAACAACATATACTAAAAGTTACAAAAAAAAATAATTTTTTTTATTTTTTCACATCTCATTCATTTCACTGTCATTAAACATACCATTGATGTAAAATGCATTGCATTATGTGCTCTCAAAATTCATATAAATCCATCATTAAATCACCCAATCACCAATGAGGAGCTATTTTCCCTCAGTTATATAAAAAGCAGTGCCTTTTTTATTAGAGAAAATCCATTGATCGTGCCAATCCAAATTAGAAGATTGGAAAGATAAGATAGTGAACAAGCAATAGATAAATGAATGCAAATGATAGTGAGATTGAAATTCAATTGGAGAAATGCAACCGTAGAAGAGTAATGAAAATCACGTGCAAGCTTATGCTGAGAGGATAGATTTAAAAGTAAAAAAATTCTTTATCATTATAAAACATCTTCATTCAAATATTTATTGCTTTTCCCTTTTTATTTTCCATTTTATAATAATTATTCCGTGGAAAAATATTTATCTTTAATCCCCTTATAAGGATGGAAATCGTTCAACTATGAAAATATTCCGTTTTTAGTTGAAAAATTTTTTCTTTTAAAAAAAAAAAATTTCTTTCAGTATAGAAAAAAAAATATCTGCCGTTGCATTCAGATATGTCAGTGGATAATAAAAAAAAAGTTCATATAAAAGTGCGGCTATGAAAATAAAATTTATATATAGACTGGACGGAAAACAGTTAGGAAAATGATTAATATACATACATATAGAATGACATAAAATATTTAAACAAATTATAAAGAAAAAAAATAGCTAAATTGCATATGACTTCGACATACTCAACCATTATTTATCACGTATACTGTATTTATATTAACATTATTAATATTCATGAACACCGAAGTTATCTAAGCTAGGAAAAATGAAAAGTGTTCTTGTTAGACTTTGACAATGATTACCGGGGTATGAAGGATGCCAAAAAGTGTTCCATATGAATGAGTGCCACCAAAACTACATTGGTAGGTGCTAAATGCATTAATATAGCGAAAATTAAATAAATAATTAAATAAATCAAGTAAAACTAGATAAATGCATAAATAAACAAAACACACACCGAAGAAGGGGAAAGTATTGCGAACAGAGTCAGTAAATGGATAAAATAAATAAAGTTTGGTAATTAAACTTATTTGTTTATAAGAATCTTTGCACCACCTACAGGCATAAAAACAACAATAGAACCATCATTGAGCCAATAAGCAGACTTTTGTATACAGATGGAATGAAAAATGAAATAAATAATCGTTTGTTGCGTTTTACAACTAAAATATTGAGTCACAAAACATATGATACGACTATAGACATGGAGATTTACACGATATTTTGTACATATAATCTTAATTAATAATTTATCGATGCAAATCAGATATGTCAACCTATCCCCTGTCTTTCCCTTTCTTCCTCTCCCTCCTTAATCAATGTATATACTTTACAATTAGCACTAACAATACGAATTAAAATGATTATCAATCATTAATTATTATTATGATTATAATTATAATTATGATTATTATTATATTTAGATCATATTGATTAACTGATAGTATTATTCTTATTGCCTGTAGTCGACATAGTATGCAGTGTTATCTATATTTAGAGAACGAAGCACATCATTGAACAATTTATTCTCATTTAAATTATATTGTTGAGTAATTACATTAAAATTATTATTATTATTATTATAATTATTATTATTATTATTAATTATTCACTATTATTATTAATTAAATACATTATCATAATATTTTATTTTATTTTATTTTATTTTGAACAACCATAATTATTCTTGTTTTTATAATTTCATTATGATCATAATTAGTTATTTTTTTTACTTGTACGCTGAGTTACATTAGATTTCGTTTAATCTTGGATTGTGTGTTACATGGAAAATCGTCAATTTCCATCATTACGATTTTAAATAAAAATATCGTGACTGTAAGACGTTTTTATGTACACTGTATGTTGTATGAATTTTATGGATATGATAATAATAATGTAATGTTTGACCATTAAAAAAAGCGCAGCTGTGTGATCCAGAGAGATTGATATACGTAGACAAAGTAAAAAAGTAGTTGCAAAGAAAAAAAAAATTTATTTAATACAAATTCGAAAAATAAATTAATTCTAAAGTGTATTAACATTAGTAAAAGATATTTGAAATCGTCGAATGTTAAATAATGAACTTGTGTTTTTAACTGAATAAATTAATTTAATAAAAAATAAAAAGATTTAAAGTGTAGCTTACAATTCATGTGTTCGAAGGAATGGTTGCTTTCGCAATAATTATTGCAATTGTTGAAATGAAAGAAATTAAAAAAGAATTTGTTATTGAAATCTGTTATAAATTTTAACTCTTCTTTGATAAATTTATAAAAAAAGTTGAATGAAGAATAGAAAACATAAGAACAGTGAAAAGGAATATATAACAGTAAAATTAATAGATAATTATGAAATAAAATAACAAAGTGGTTTTGAAGAAAAATGGTCGCTGGCTGTGCTGAGTAATTGTTAATTGCAATGTGATATATCGAAGTTACGATCTGGGTTGTATCGTTATTGATCGTTGCATAAAAAGGATTATTATAATAATAATAATAAATAACATCAGAGAAAGACTCGTCTATTCATGAAATGATAAATAATAAATAAATAAATAAGAAGTACGATTGAATGGCTGATGAAGAATTTGAGCAATTTCTCGCTGATTCTGTTACCGTTTTCGGATCAAAGGATATCATTGTATTTATAAATTATAAATTAATCTTTAATATGTCGTTTATAAATGTCCTTATATTATATATTGTATATATTAAATATTACTAGAGCCAAGTTATTTATATACGTTGTACATCGCTTTTTTAATCTGTCATTGTCATTTGTCTTTTTGAATTTTGACAATGAAATAATTCTTTTATTGATTATTATTATTGCTCGATTGAATTAATTATCTCTACATACATGACGCTATAATAAATCTGAAAGAGCATTCGTGTCTTCATTTATCATTATGTCATTACTACTCATTATTATTACTACTACTATTACTATTATTATTATATTGTTACTATTATTTCAATAATAAAAGAACTGGTAAGTTGAATTTTTTCTATTAATGCCAATTTTAAATAATGTAAAGAAAATACATTATCATAAATTACGTTGTAGCAGCTATTGGTTCACTATTTTTAAATAAATTATCACCTTCAATGAAGGAGGAATTGATGGGGGTTTTGTCAACTTCTTTTATTATTTTTATATTCTCTGCATCTGGAATATTTTGTTTATACTCTGAATTGTCTTGCTGGTCAACTTTAAAAATTATCTATAAATTTTAATAGACAAGTTTTTATTTAAAAATTTCTTAATATTAGCAAGTAATTATATAAATAAAATATTTTATTAAAAAAATAATTAATAACCGTATGCTTTTTTGAATATTTTTGTTCATTCTTTTTGCGTTCATCAATCGCATTATTGAGAGCAGCTTGTTCAATAGGACTAAGTATAACTAATCTCGGATCCATTGCAATCCAACTGCTATGAACAACTTGATCAGTTTTCCACCTCTTTGACGTATCAGGTTCAAGAAGATTGGTAATTAATTTTTTTACATTCTCACTGAGCTCATCAACTATTTTTCGTCGAAATTTCCAACGACGATTAGTTTGCAGCTCATATAAACGTGTCAAATTTGTATCATCAAAAGGCATAGCTTTGTTCAAAATAATATATAAAATCACACCGAGTGACCAGACATCAGCAATTTTAGGATTATAAGGAGTGCCTCGGAGTATTTCTGGTGCTGCGTATAATAAAGAACCGCAAAAAGTATCGCTCATCACTCTCTTTCCACGAATATCTGTTACATAACGAGCAAAACCAAAATCTGCAAGCTTTACATTGAAATTTGTTGTTAGTAATACATTTTCACATTTTATGTCACGATGAGCTATTTCCATTTCATGTAAATATTGTAAACCTGAAATAACAATTTTATTTGATACTTTCTCATGTTTTCACAATAATTTAATTTATTGATCATTTATTTCCATTCATAAAAAATATCTAAAAAATGTAAAAGGTATATAATTTTGCTGAAGGTATGTATATATACTAAAATATTATTTCTACTGACTTTAATATTGATTCATATCTATTAATATCAGTCAGTTACTAATTATTTATTATTTAAACTAGTTTATTCAATAAGAACAGTATACCGAGAGCAAGCTGTCTTAACCAAACTCGTGCTTGACTTTCACCAACAGGGCCATTTTTTAAAATATACTGTAAGAGATCACCATTCTCGGCAAATCTCATGAATATGAAATATTTTGTGCGCCTCTGAAATATACTATGCACTTGGACAACATGTGGATGATTGAGCTTCACCAGAATATCTAATTCACGTGGAAAGAATTTCCTTACAATATCTTTTGGTGCATTTGATGTATCAACTATTTTACAAGCTAGACTGATATTACTATCTGGATCATCATTAGGTTTATATTCAGCTAAAAAAACCTACAAGTGATGATACATGTAATTATCTGAATAATTTCAATATGTAAACAAATATAAATAATATGTAAAATTATTACTTTAGCAAAAGAACCTTCACCAAGTTTTTTCATTATTTTATAGCCTCGTGCTTGCAATATTGCTTGTTCTGATGGTGATTGGTCTAGCTCGGTTTGTGACATGAATATATAAATTTTCCAATCTTAAATTCTCCATTATCAATAGAACATACAGCTTGACAATAATTTCGATTATTTATTTAAAAATAATTTATTCAGTAAATCTTCAAAAATGAATCATAATCGTTTATGCACATAAAGTTTTGTAACGCTATTCTTTCTTTTATAATTGTCATTTTGGTAAACCATCAAATTTTATAACCCAATTCGTTTTTATTCATCAAGTCAAAAAAGTCAGATTAATATCGTTGTGATTTTGACGAATTTCACACTTATTAGACACTCATTTATTTTAATTATTATTTGAACTAGGAATTCCTGCCCTACTATATCTCTGATTCTTCATCTATCGATTATATGTTTGCTGTCATATTATTCTACAAGTTTTGATAATATTATTCCCTATTTAAATATTCCTCACAATTAATCAAATTAAAAATGACACCATCAAATCAAATTCCACTTCTTTTATCTTCTAAATGTATGAAAAACAAGAATGAATTTAAGTGATCAATTGCAATAATTAAATTAATATTGAAGGATATGATGAATTCAAATTTTCAATCATATTTTTATTTATTATAAGATATAAGAAATAAGCACCTTCTAATTAAATCAATTATTAATTGAATAAATTACAATGAATAACTACGTATTTTACGTTCATTTATTTTAATTATTATTTGAACTAGAGTGTTGTCTATATTATTTTCTCTAATGATTATTTGCCTGCTGTCATTTCCGTTCAATTTATAATTCAGAATATTTTTCGATTCTTGATAAGAATCATGACTCCTACTAATATTTATCCATTTTAAGCATACCTTCAGTTTCATCGGTAAAACAACTCTGACTTTTGCTATGAGTGGATTTATTTGCTACAATAAATTCATTCTTAAAGTAATGAATAAATGTATTCAATTAATATCTATTATAACTGTGATTTTTTCATTCATCAATATAGTGAACTCATTATATGCGAATACACCACCTGAAAAAACTCTTGAGAATTCTTCAATCATGAATACAGCTCTGGTAAGCATATTTAATCCATTGATTATAATAAATATTTAAATAAAAAATTATTTAACTTCTTTAAAGATCAACGTCTTAAAATCGTGCTCTGCAGAATTAAAAACAGTGATAATTGATGATGAATCTATTGAGACCATTGACTTTTTTTTAAAAAATCCAAATCCAATCAATGTTGTATCTCTAGACAATTCAATAATACATAGAAATCATAAACCACTGTATCAAATACATGCCTTTATAGCTTCTATCAATTCAACAGAGCAACTTAGAAGTATGTTAGTTGCATTCAAGAAATCCCAATGGTGGCATATAGGAATTCCATTGTTTATAGTAGATCGTTCAGAATTTTTTTGTAACCAAACAATAGATGCTTTTGACTTGGCATGGGATTGGAACTTAATTAATTCTTATTATTTTTGTATAAATGATCGAAGAAAGTTACAAGTTTATACATTCAATCCATATTCTGATCGAAAACTGAACAATTGGAATCTTATTTCGAAATCTGACAAATATGATCAAATGGCTGTATTTAATCGACCTTATGATGAAGGTAATGTATTTTATTTTTTTAACTATTAAAGTATAATTAATTTATGATTTTCTATTTAATAGAAAATATTTGTACTGGATTTTACTTTGATCGTACTGCAGTACTCGATGGTGCACCAATAAGAATCGCAGCTAAAATGCGTGTTTCGAAAAATCCTCAAGAAGATCAAAAGGCAAAGTTAACTAGATTATCTCGTTACTACTCTGACATTGGAAAAGCAATTAAATACGCAATAAATAATACATTTCATCTTACAACTGATTTAAAGACTTTGAAAGGTCGGGATTTTTATGATTTTTTAAGCAATGGATCCTTTGACATGGCCTTTATAGATAAATATAGCCCAAGATATCCTGACATCAGTATCACATATCCTATTTGGTATTATAAATATTATATTATAGCCCTCAAGAAAGATCCACTTACACCTTTGGAAAAAATCTGGAATTTTTATGGTATATCCATCCTTATGTTCACTTGTGCCATGATTGTTATAACATTTATTGTCTTATTTTTTGTGATGAAGAAAAAAGCATCATTTGCTGCTTTTGAAATTCTTCGACTTGTGACAAATACATCATTGTATACGAAAATGGATGGATTTCCATTAAGATTATTTTTTGCAACAATTTTAATATATTTTTTAATTATTCAAGCAACTTTTCAAGGACATTTATCACAATTTTTAACTAAATACGAGAGTTATGCAAGTATCATGAGTATTGAAGATCTTAAAGATCCCAAATATGAGTTCATTAGTGCACCACCTGATTTGGAATTTTGTATTTTAGATCCGGAATTAAAGAAAAAAATGTACTATTTTAAAAATAAAGACTGTATAACCGCGATAAGAAAAAATAAATCTCTCGCTTGTATAAGAACATACGGTTTTATAGATGATGATATACCTTATTTTCGTCATCTTTATAAAGTTGAACTGTTTGATACTGCAAACTATTATACTTTTGCGACTCGAGACGATTGGCCACTGAAAAATCGTGTTGATACTGTAATGATGTATTTAGAGCAGTCATATCTTGTCAAATTATGGAGAGAAAAATTTGAGAGAATTATATTTATGATCGAAAGGACTATTTATGGATTTCGACGATATGAACCGATGGAAACCATCAAACCAATCTCATTAAATTCTTTAAAATTTGCTTTTCAGTTTTGGCTTATGGGAATGTTTAGCAGTATTATTTGTTTTTTGTATGAAATGACAGTCAACAATAAACAAAAAATGGATCAAATTTGCAAGCAAATAATGAAAATAAAAAATTTTTTTTGTAAAAGTAATAAGTAATAATAATGAATGTATTTGTTCATTTTATATCTTGATTTATAATTTTATAAAAAAAAGATAAATTAAATGTATTTAATAATCTTATAAAAATTTTATTAAATAACTATGTATCTACATCAATTTTATTTATTCTCCCTAATAATTATTATTCTTCCAAAAATGATAAAACACAATATTTTTATTTTTCTCTAGTCTTTATTCACGTAACATGAAAAAAATATATAAATTATTTTATATAATAAAAAAGAAGCTGATGAAGTCATATTGCAAATACTTATTTAAAAAATGAGTAAATTAACAATGTTTCATGATTTTTACAAATCATTCAAGTCAACAGCATCAATGCGGTCAGCAACAGCATCCTTGTCATCCTTTTCTTGTGCGTTTTTGGTATTGGCAGTTACTTCCCCTGGAAAATCTAGCTTTGACCATGAGCCCAGCTCTGCTTTTCTTAATTTAATTTCTACTTTTGTTGGCAACATATTCACTGAACTTTTATCTACGTCAATAATCTGTAATATAATATATTTAGTTGAAAGATATCAATTACAATTTTTATAAATGAACTTTGAATGATTGTTAATAGACAACACAACTTACTCCTCTTAATTCAACATCCATTAAATATGAAGAATCTTCTTCAGGGAAAAAGAGATCAACTGTTAATCGAATGGGATTTAATTTTACTGACGATTTATTTGGATTGTATTTTTTGGCATAAATAGACACAACAACAAATGACCCAGTTTGATGCCAATCCATTCGACATTCAATTTTCTTCCCTTGATTCTATAATTAAATTAAATGTTAATAATAAAATATTCTTTAAATAAATTTAGTTCATCAAAATAATATTCAAATCTCAAATGAAGTGCTCACCTTTACAAGCCATAAATGAGTTCCTTGTGTACATCCTGGTTGGTCAAGAAATACTCCAAAGTCTGTAGTCTTCTTCTGACAACACGACCAAAACTTAAGCCCTTCGTGGAATATTGGAACTCCAGGATGATAAGTACAAGTCTCGGAATCAGACTGTGGTCCTTGATAACTAGCCTTACATGGTTTATTTTTACAACTTTCACCTATTTTAACAATTGATTTATCTTCTGTCGATGGTTCATTTGCAATAAGTCCTTTGATTTGTTCTAAAAGAGTTGAAGATACAACTGGTGTCATAATGATTTGAGGTGTTTCAAAAGGTGGTCTTTTCATAGCAGGTACATTGTGAACAGGAGCACGATATTCTATTACTTCGTCAACTTTAGATTTATCCACTGGTGGTTTTTCAGGTTCTACTGGCTTTTGATTAGTGTGATAAGATTTGGTACATCCTTTTATATTAAGAAATTCAGTAAAATCTGTACACTTTTTATTACAACATGACCATCCTTTATAAGCATCATGAAAAATTGGAGCTCCGGGATGATGAACACAGGCATCTAATTGAAGAATAATACTTATTAGAGATATAGCTTTATTGATTACTAATCATGATCAAAGAAAAATATCTACTTTTTATGCAGGTCTTACATTTCAATTGTTTATTTATTTCAATTTTATAATATATAACAATCACAAAACGAGTTTCAATTATATTTCATATGCAACTTACCAGGTTCATTGTTATCAGGATCAAATTCTTTACCACAGCCACGATTATAACAGAGTAAAAGACCTCGTTCGTTTGACATGTTTATGTAAACTTGTTTTTTGAATGTTTTGGAGTTAAAAAAAAATTGAGGTTATGTTTATGTAAATCTCTTGATACAAGATATTTCAATTACTGTTTAATTTTTGCGTCTAACAATACTTTAAATAGTGCAAAGAATGTTCTAGGATGTTCTATTCCTTAAAACACAGTATTGTCGAACTGAGAAAAGAGTTCCTCAGTTGCTTCAATGCTTTCGGACTCCCCACTACTGATTTTCTACCCCTTCTACCATGTTTTTTACTACTGCGCAAGCGCACAAGAACACATGAAGAGCATCTAAGGAACTCTCTTTTCAGTCCGACTATATTTGTAAATGTGCGTGAATACAGCTACATGTCGTAAACTGAAATTGGCGCCATCTAATCTTTCTGACCTAGCTTTTCCTTCACTTTGTTGATTAATCGACCGACTTCGTAGGGATGTTTATGAGTAAATAAATAGACTTGTCAGTGAGATAAATAAACATCAATAGAACATTGTTATATTATATATGGATTATCAGTATTTATATAATTAATTGTTATATTTAGTAATCATAGATATGAAAAAAATTACTTGTTTCCACCATGTATATTATATCCTGTTAATTGTGCAATTTTCAAGTAAGTTAACCTTTCACTTTTTATGTAATTATTTTCTATTATTTTAGTAATTCCACGAAATATTTAGTAATCAAAAATAATTATATCGATTTTCAAGTAATTTTTAAAGAGTAAAATGTTTAGGTAATAAAGTTTTAGAATTTTTTGTATTAAAAATATAAATTAATTTGATTACTATAGTTTTTTAATTTATGAAATTATAATTTTAGGTAGCCTTCATCGTAATTTAAATTATTATGAAACTTTACATCCATCTAAATTACAACATAAAATTATTAAACGAGGAACTCAACATAGTTATCATCCCTATAACAAAATAAACGAAGTTGAATTTTATGCTCATGGACGTCATTTTAGACTAATTCTTACTCCAAGAAAACACGTAATTCATTCCAAATTCAAAGCCTATGAAATCAATGCTGATGGAGAAGAAAAAACAGTACATGTAGACCATGAAACTTTTTATCATGGTAGAGTTTTTGGAGAACTAGATTCTCATGCACAACTTCATATCGATGATGGAGTTTTAACAGGAAGTATAACTATTTCTGATGAGTTTTATCATATTGAACCAGCTTGGAGGCATCTTCCTCACTTGGATAATTCTTCAATGATTATGTACAAAGCATCTGACGTTAAATTTAGCTGGGAGCATGTACAGAATGGCGAAGGACATACTCATGGAGTTCCAAAAACTTGCGGTTACGTTAAAGAAGAACATTCTAATGAAGACGAGGAAGATGATGATGATGATGATGATGATGATCAAATAGAAATAGAAGAAGAAGTTACAAGTCATAATAGAAGTAAAAGACAAACAGAAACATACGAGTATACTCCTACAAAAACACGTTGCCCTTTGCTTCTTGTGGCAGATTATCGCTTTTATCAAGAAATGGGTGCTAGTAGTACAAAAACAACTATAAATTACTTAATTAGTCTCATTGATAGAGTTCATAAGATTTATAATGATACTCTCTGGCAGGATCGTCTAGAACAAGATGGGTTCAAAGGCATGGGATTCGTCATTAAAAAAATTGTTGTTCACAGTGAACCAACAAGAGTTCGAGGTGGAGATACACATTATAATATGGTTAGAGAAAAGTGGGATGTTAGAACATTACTAGAAGTTTTTAGTCGAGAATATAGTCACAAAGATTTTTGTTTAGCTCATTTATTTACTGATTTAAAATTCGAAGGTGGTATTTTGGGTTTGGCGTATGTTGGATCACCAAGAAGAAATTCTGTTGGAGGTATATGCACTCCTGAATACTTTAAAAATGGATACACTCTTTATTTAAATTCTGGATTAAGTTCTAGTCGAAATCATTATGGCCAAAGAGTAATAACGAGGGAGGCTGATCTCGTAACAGCTCATGAATTTGGTCATAATTGGGGATCTGAACATGATCCTGATGTTACCGAATGCAGTCCAAGTGCAAGTCAAGGTGGATCTTATTTAATGTATACGTATAGCGTCAGTGGTTACGATGTAAATAACAAAAGGTTTTCTCCGTGTAGCCTAAGATCAATAAAAAAAGTTCTTCAAGCCAAATCTGGAAGGTGTTTTTCAGAACCTGAAGAATCATTCTGCGGAAATTTAAGAGTAGAAGGAGATGAAGAATGTGATGCTGGATTGTTAGGTACTGAAGATAATGATAATTGTTGCGATAAGAATTGTAAATTAAGAAGAAATCAGGGCGCAGTATGTAGTGATAAGAATTCTCCATGTTGTCAAAATTGTCGTTTTATGCGAGAGGGCACAAAGTGTCGAGATGCTCAGTATGCGACATGTGAACAAGAATCTAGATGTACGGGTACATCTAGTGAATGTCCACGATCACCTCCAATGAAAAATGGAACAAGTTGTTTGGAACGTGGTCAATGTAGGCTTGGAAAATGTGTGCCATACTGTGAAACTCAAGGATTACAAAGTTGCATGTGCGATACAAGTAAGAAAAATATTTAATTAATTAATTATGAAGTAGAAGTAATTTCTAAAAGAATGATTATTTTATTATGACTTTAGTTGGAGATGCTTGTAAACGATGCTGTAGGATGAATTTGAATGAGACATGTTTCCCTATCGATCCTCCAGATATTTTGCCAGATGGTACACCTTGCATTCAAGGATTTTGTAATAAGGTATTAAATTTTTCACTAAAATTTTTCAACGGAGATATTTAATTGATCAAATAGGAAAGTACATTGCTTTCATTACTTACTAATCATTAAGAAATAATGATATTGAACAGTAAAATTTACATGATGCCATATAAATACAATAAACGTACCGAAGAGTCAATAAAAAAATTAAATTTAAATATTTTTAAATAATATTTAGTTCAATATAAAAACTAATTCGTTATAAATAAAAATGGTCAGTAAATATAATTAAAATCATTCAAGTTTTCGACAAGCTTGTTTTTTATCTAAAACGGTCTCCATGATTTCATTAAGTATATTTCATCTAATTCGTTAGATTCAGAAGATGATGCAGATAATGACAGCTGGTTTTTATAAGTTCTATTAAGTCTTAATCTTTTTCTTTTAAAGTATATTTTATGTGCCTTGACATTCCTGTGTCTTTTAAAATACGATTTACTGTATTTGAAAAGTTTCCATTCCGTTTCAGCACATTTAATATTATACTGCTTTTTCCACTCATAAAGCCATACAATATCAGGAAAAAAGGGTCGATCATTCAAAAGTATACTTACTGATTCAGCTCGAACAAATAGGTCTTCGTCAGATATAATCTTCCCATCTTTTGTAATATCATCGTACCAAAAAAATAAATCTTCTCCTACATTATCTATTTCTTCTTGTCTGTCCTTCCAATTGTCTTGTACATGCTTTTTAGATGAAAGTTTAGCAAAATCAGAATTTTGAGAAAGAAAACTTCGATCAAAATATTCTGCACACTTATTGATAGTATATAAATTAATATTGTATATTTCATACCAAAGATACAACCAAGTATTATTGGCTCGAAATTTATCATAATTTAACGTTCTAGCTATTCGGTTTGCCTCTTGTTTTAACATGAATTCAGCAATAAAAATTCCTTTTTGTTGCATTTGTAAATACCAATCATACAAATGCTTTACTAATTTCTGAGCTTTTTCAGTATTTACCTTTATTTGTGTCAACTCTTCATGTGTGTAGCCTTTTTTTGAGCTTTGAAAGTTAATAAATGAGTTCAAATAATTTTCTATATTACAATCAATAAATTCATTGTTTAAATTTTGATTCTGATTTGTTTGTGATTTTTCATTGGAATTTTTGTTGCGAATGTCCTTTACTTGAAGCTTTTGTATTATCAAAATATGTAAAATATGTTGATTGATTCCATATTTACGATTAAATTGTTTTTTATGTAATATCTCAAAATCTTGAAGAATTTTCTGTTTACTTTTTGGATAAATAAATTTTTCCGGTATACCACTTTCAGAATCACTAGAAGATGAATCTGTTTCACTATTTGAATCTGACGATGATCGACTTCTTTTATTTCTCTTTAATTTTTCTTGAATTACTACCGAATTTTCAATCCATCTTTCTAACAAAGCCAATTCCACATTGTATTTTTCACACACTAATTCAGGAGACATTGTTTGAAGTTCTTGTAGAATGTTCCATTTTTCTTCACATGTGTAAAACTGTTCAACTTTATTATTGTTTTTGTTTGTATCATGGCAAATTAATGTATCTTCTATATTTTTTCTAAATTCTTTAGGGTTTTCTTTTGTCTCCATTTGTTTATCCAAAAAGGCAGACCTTTATTTAGTAAATTAACTATAAATTAATTTATCTTCAAGTAAAAAATAGATTAAAAATTCATACAATAAACTATGTTTAAGTAGATGATTAATTCGGAGAAAATATATTTTTACCTTTACACCAATAATCGTCGATTACTCTTCGGATAGTAAATTCCGAGTAATTTTAAGTTTATTTTTCACCCGAATAAGACACTATTCGAAATTGTATTTATTCATGTTTGTGTTTACCAACATATTGGAATAGTTTTGTAATGTAATCAAAATAGAAATCATTTATTTTATAGCTTATAAATTTAAAATATATTTTAGAAATACATACGAATTATTAATCATATTCTATTATATACACATGTTGATTTATTGATGATATCAATAACTAGTTTGTTTTGATTTGTTAATTAGGGAGTTTGTGAGAAGACCATTCAGGACGTTGTAGAACGATTTTGGGACATAATCGAAGACATCAATATAAATAAAGTAATTAGATTTTTAAAGGATAATGTAGTTGGAGCCGTTATTATCAGTACTGCAATAGTATGGATTCCTGCCAGCTGTGTTGTTAGTTATATTGATAGCAGGAGAATTAGAGAAAATGAAAAAAAATATCGTTGGAAAAATGCTGAAGAACTAATTCATCCTGATGATCAAAGACAAGTAATCTATATTGGTATATCACGACCACGATTAGAGCAACAACCGCTACCGCAACAGCAACAGCAACCGCCACAACAAAAAGTTAAAGGAACATCATAAACACAATCATTGCAGTTGGAATAAAAAAAATAGAGATAATTTATTCAACGTTCTAGTCAATTTTTGTGAAGAATTTAATTAAGTAAATAGTGTTTAATATGTGGGTTAAATGTGTTCATCTTTGATTGTTGTTTTTATATCATTTATTACTTACTATAATGCATTTAAATACTTTTGCATTTAAAATAGTTGTTTTTTTATTCATTAATATTTTTATTAATTTTATTCCAATTAACAAAAATGAGTACTTTTTTAAACGTAGCATTAGAATTATTTAAGTGTTCCAAATATTCAATTTACCAAGTATTAGGTACTCAAGTGCAAATAATTTTTGTTAATTTAATTTTTAAGCTGATGCCACTTTTTTATATGATTTTATTTAGCCATTGAACAAGTTACTAATGTCAACTAATGTCAAATGCATATGTTATTTTCTAAGATGATTTTTATAATCTGACCAAACTAATAAATAAAAATAATTTTTTTATTAATTTTATAGAGAAAATGTTTCATTATTCTATCTCCTTTTTGATTCAACATTCTAATCTGTACATTTTATTCAAATATTTGATTTTGAACGCTAAAATTAAATGGTGGTTCTCAATCCATCAACTCTAACTATACGTACACTACTCCATGATCAGTAGACGTGAATATAACGAAAAATCTTATTAGTTTGCATCAGTATATAGTCGAACTGAGAAAAGAGTTCCTCAGTTGCTTCAATGCTTTCGGGTTCCCCACCACTGATTTTCTACCCCTTCTACCATGTTTTTTACTACTGCGCAAGCGTACAAGAACACATGAAGAGCTTCTGAGGAACTCTCTTCTCAGTCCGACTATATCACACTATTGCCTGTGATAACCATCAATATCTGTTAATACAGAGGATGAAATTTCATTGACCATTAAAGTTAAATAATCGTTATCAATTGTACTATTTAATATTCATCAGCACGTACTAACATAGTAAGTGATATCATTTTTACAACTGATAAGATGTTGAATTCATTACTATTTGACAACGTGTTCAGTATTAGTTATATAGGTTACATCATATTTTCCAGCCGGTTCGTTTAGTATTTTGTTAATAAATTTCTTACTCAGTAAAATCTTCATATTTAAAAAAAAATAGAGTTTTAATAAATTCTGATAGGCTTTTTATAATAATTTTAAAGTTATAACCTATAAGAATGCATACATATATTCTTCGTTATTATCTTGATCAACTTCTTGTCTTTCAATAAATAATAACCTACGATTCTTTTTCATGATAATAAATTTAATCTGTAATTTATTTAATAAAAGAATTGAATTATTTTAGACAATCATGAGGGAAAAGTTACCTGAAACAATAAACTTTCCTAAAGAAGAGGAAAAAATTCTCGAGTTTTGGCAGAAGCATGATGTTTTTCAAAACAGTGTCCGTCAATCTAAAGGTAAGCCACGTTATTCTTTCTACGATGGACCACCTTTTGCAACAGGACTTCCTCATTATGGCCATATCCTAGCTGGAACAATTAAGGATATTGTAACGAGATATGCACATCAAAGTGGCTTTTATGTAGAACGCCGATTTGGTTGGGATACTCATGGATTGCCAGTAGAATATGAAATAGATAAGACTCTGGGGATCAAAGGTCCAGATGATGTTGAAAAAATGGGAATAGAAAACTATAATAAGGAATGTAGAAAGATCGTCATGAGATATTCTGAAGACTGGGAAAAGATTGTAGGACGAATGGGTCGTTGGATTGATTTTAATAATGATTACAAGACTTTATACCCTTGGTACATGGAATCAATTTGGTGGATTTTTCAAGAATTATTCAATAAAGGTTTAGTTTACCAAGGAGTGAAAGTTATGCCTTACTCTACAGGATGTAATACACCTTTATCCAATTTTGAATCGGGCCAGAATTATAAAGAAGTGATAGATCCATCCGTATTTATAGCATTTCCTCTTCTAGATGAGCCCCAAACATCAATTCTTGCCTGGACAACCACTCCTTGGACTCTTCCAAGTAATTTGGCTCTTTGTTGTAATCCAAACTTTGAATATGTTGTTATAATTGATAAAGCAACAAATAAAAAGTATATTTTATTGGAAGCAGCATTGGAAAGAGTATATAAATCTAATCATCAATATGAAATTATTGAAAAAAGAATGGGATCTGAGATCAAAGGAAAATCTTACGAACCCCCATTTCCTTATTTTGAACATCTGAGAGCTAAAGGTGCATTCAAAGTGCTAAATGATACTTATGTAACAGCAGAAACTGGTACAGGATTTGTTCATCAAGCTCCGTATTTTGGTGAAGATGATTATCGTTGTTGCTTGGAAGCAGGAATCATTACTAGAGATCAAGAAGCCATTTGTCCAGTAGACAGCTGTGGAAAATTTACTGAACCAGTTAAAGATTTTGTAGGAATGTATGTAAAGGATGCTGATAAAGAAATTATTAAATATCTTCAAACAAATGGCAAATGTGTGAAACATGTTGGACATTCTCACAGCTATCCTTATTGCTGGCGATCGGATACACCTTTGATTTACAAAGCTGTACCTTCTTGGTTTATTCGAGTAGAGAGTATCAAAGATAAGCTTTTATCAGCATCTGCAGAAACTTATTGGGTTCCTGATTATGTTAAAGACAAAAGATTCGGTAATTGGTTGAGAGATGCTCGAGATTGGGCTATAAGTCGTAATCGTTATTGGGGCAATCCAATTCCTCTTTGGGTGTCTGAAGATAATAAAGAGATAGTTTGTATTGGAAGCATAGCTGAATTAGAGAAACTCACGGGAAAAAAAATTACTGATATCCATAGAGAAAGCATAGATAACTTGGAAATTCCATCAAAACGTCCAGGATGTAAACCATTGAGACGTATTCCTGAAGTCTTCGATTGTTGGTTCGAGTCTGGATCAATGCCTTACGCTCAGATGCATTATCCCTTCGATAGGGTAAAGGACTTTGAAGACAGTTTTCCGGCAGATTTTATTGCTGAGGGCATAGATCAAACCAGAGGATGGTTTTATACACTTTTGGTGATCTCCACTGCTTTGTTTGATAAACCTCCATTCAAAAATCTTGTCTGCAATGGTTTAGTACTTGCATCTGATGGCCAAAAAATGTCTAAACGTAAAAAAAATTATCCTGATCCTTTGGAGATTGTTAATAGATTTGGAGCAGATGCTTTAAGACTTTATTTGATTAATTCTCCAGTTGTTCGAGCAGAAAACTTGAGATTTAAAGAAGAAGGAGTCCGCGATGTTATCAAAGACGTCTTCCTTCCATGGTATAATGCATTCCGATTTTTGATGCAGAATATTGATCGATTCGAAACTGAAGAGAAGTCTGAATTTATTTATAGAGATATCAAAGACATTTCTAATGTCTCTGATAATATTATGGACAGATGGATTTTGTCATTCACTCAAACCTTACTTCAATTCTTGAAACAAGAAATGAAAGCTTATCGGTTGTATACAGTTGTTCCTAAATTGATTAAATATATTGAAAATTTGACTAATTGGTACGTGAGGATGAACAGGAAAAGAATCAAGGGAGACTATGGAATGGAAGATTGTAAACATGCTCTCAATACTCTCTTCAGTGTCATATATACCATGGTACGCATCAATGCACCTTTCACACCCTTTTTGAGCGAATTCATGTTTCAAAAATTGGCTCCATTGTTATCGAAAGAAAATTTTAAGGAGAACTTAGAGAGTGTTCATTATCAAATGATTCCTGACCCACGTTCTCAGCTGATTAATACAGAAATTGAACGTGCAGTTTATCATATGCAAACTGTTATTGAATTAGGAAGAGTTGTTCGAGACAGGAAAACAATTCCTGTTAAATATCCGCTTCCAGAAGTAGTAGTGATTCATCAGGATGCTAGAATATTAGAAGAAATAATTAGTTTAAAGCCATACATTCTGGAAGAGCTGAATGTCAAAGAGTTAACAGTAACTACAGACAAGGAAAAATATGGAGTGGTGCTAAGAGCGGAACCCGATCATAAAACTCTAGGGTTTAGATTAAAAGGAGAATTCAAATCAATTATTCAGGCAATTAAACAGTTAACGGATGTTCAATTACAAGAGTTCTTGGTTAAAAAGGAAATTACAGTACAAAAACATAAATTAGGAGAACAAGATTTAAGATTAATGTTTAGCTTTTCTGGTCCAGCTGCTGAGCAGTTATCCCGCAGATATGAAGCTCATAGTGAAGGAAATATCTTGATACTTCTGGATATAACTCCAGATGAATCGATGCAACATGAAGGAATTGCTAGAGAAATTATTAATAGAGTGCAGAAATTGAGGAAGAAAGCACAGCTGGTTCCTTCTGATGCTGCTGATGTCTATTACAAAATCTCTGATCCTAATTGTTCTCTAGCTAAAGTTATTGTCGAATATAAAGAATTTATTGAAAATACTACCAAGACTCCGCAACAAGAATATGCTGAAACTCCTACCGATGCTCAAGTTATCATTGAAGAAATGCAGAAGATCAAAGGTATGGAGATGAAATTATTATTAGTAAAACGTAATACAAATACGTCTGAGAATACATCGTGTGTAGGCAATGAACCTAGTTCAGCTTATGTAAATGTTAAACTTATTGACGTTGAACCTTGGGGTGCTGAAAAAGGAGATGTAGGCTCAATCTTCATAGAAAGTCCACGAGATCGTGAGCTAATTACTTTTCAGCAGTTGAAAGATGAAATTGAGATTATCTTCGGCATTTATGATAAACAGTATAATCTATTTTGTGACCGAAAGAAACTTAATGAAGGAATTGATATACGGACTTTAAATAGAAAATATATTTTCGTAATAAAACCAGGACAAGATTGTTATCATGAAGAAATAGACATTATTGCTCCATGTTGTAAATTTCTTTGTGTAACACACGAGAATAAAAAGACATCGATATTTTTAGAGAATCCTAAATCAAAATATCGTATAGACAGCAAGAATGCGAAGAAAAAGATAGATTCCATCTTTGGAACAAACTTTGAAATAACCCAAAATCTTCTTGACTCACATTTTTAATCTCGCTATTAATAGAACTAATTTTTGACACATTATTTTTACTAATTATCATTTAAACTGGAATTGTGTGATATATATCCATGTAATTTATGAATAAATAAGGATTTTTCATATTTAAATAAATGCTTCGTTTAATAAAGAAAGTAATTCCTTTAATTATCAAATAAATAATTATTTATTTTTACTACATAAAATAATAACAATAGATTCAACTTCTTTTTTACATATTTATATCATATCGGTAAATCAAAACATTTTTAATAAGAAATAAAGAATCCAAATGGTTGTTGTTCAATAATTATGTAACTCTGTTTTATGCACTGAGATTAATTTCAAATTTATACACTTGCGTGATTTAAATAATAGTAACAATATAGACATTAAAATATACAACATTATGTAGTAATTATGCAACTATCAAACTTCACAAATTCTCACAACTATTTATCTATTTATCAAGTAATAAGTTCATGTACGAATAAAATAAGTGGTTTTACCCATTTCTTTCATTAAATTTATGATTCATTATATATAAACCATTAAATATAAATTTTTATCAATTAATTTTTTGTATGATAAACAAAAAATATAGTTTACTCAATATTGATAACTTATTCGAATCGCACTGGTTCGAGTAACATTTTTGATAATTTGTTTCTTTTTTTCCAAGTACCGAATCATTTTTGAAAAATTTTAACGTTTTTATATGGTTTTTTTCCATATGGCCACATTATACTGAAGTTTTTACAAAAATGAATAGTAAAATTGAAGAATAATTTATTTTCGAATAAAAAAATTTATTCGATTTCTCTAAAGTTATCTTGATCAGGGAAAAAGTGGCCAACAACAGAAAGTGTAAATATTGCTGTTAAGGCATAAAGAGCGAGTGTGGTCGTCGCAGTAAATAGTTGAGCGTAATAATATCGAGAATACCATGCAAATGCAAGAATGAGTGTTAAAATACTAACTAATAATCTGCTTAGGTCCCATTCATTGTGAAGAGAACTAATACCGGTATCTCCAGTTGAAACGTTTGCAAAGGACTGAGGACCGGAATAAATAGATGAAGTATCTGTAGCATTTGATTGTGATGCAGATACAGGTGGTAATCGTGGCTGGTGCACTAAGCAGTGAACCACACAATTATTATAAAGACCACATTTTTCTAATGTTTCACTATCTGGTTGTAGCACGTGACCATTGAATACCAATCGAACTCTTTTTTGAGCATCGAGTTCTACTTGGAAATGTCGTCTAAAAGATAATCAATAAAAAATTTAGTGAATAGATTAATAAACGATTTATATAATTAGTTCAACTGTAAACAATAATTTATTACCTCTTGAAATCTCCAAGCAACTCTTTTAACCGTCCAGTAACCAATTTTTGGTCATCATTAATAAACTTTAACTTTATTGTTATTTCGTTGTCTTCGCATGAAGCGCTTTCACTAACGGAATCAGGAGGTATTACGGACGATGCCTCTGATGTCGTTGTAGATTCAGGAGTTGTTAATTTAACAGGTCTATAATGTAAATTTGGACCATCGTTTAATGAATCCATTGCTTGGATAAGAACTTCTTCAGAACTAGTATTTTCCACTGCATTCGAAGCATTAGTCGCCTCAGGTGTTACTTGTGATGCTAGTGTAATTATTATAATTATTATTACACTTATGATTGTAGTTATTTTTTTACAAACATACCTTCTTGACTATTAATTGGACAAGTTTGTTCCGTTTCATTGTTAGCATCATTACTCACAGCTATCGATTCATCACTTGATTCTTCACTGTTTGTACTTCTACTATCAGTTCTACTTGACTGATTATTAGCTCTAAGTTCGGCAATATGTGTGCGTGTTCTATGCTGTAATATCAAAACAGTACGAATGAGAGGTTGTTCTGAAATGTTTGTAGAGCACCAAGCAATCCATCCAATTAATAAAACTCCGACTACTATAAAGAAGTCTGTGACTTCATCACCTACTCCTTCAATCAATGTCATTTTTCTATTTGAGACTGAAAAATAATTCACATTAATATTTCATATATCGGATGTTTAAATAAATAAAATTAAGAATTTTTAGCAATCCTAAAAACTCACCCAAAGAAAATATACAATATGTGTATGTCTAAGAATACAATTTCAACTATTAATGATAATTTTATCCATATATTTAAAGATATATAGATTAATCGATGGATGATGCAAATAAAAATCCTTTTTCAGGTGCAGATACTATCAAACGCAATATCTAAAATAAAAAAATACATGTAATGTGTTTTGTTGATTGATCAATAAACACCATATTTAAAAAAATTTTAATGAACCGACGATACTTGTTATGTGGAAATAATGAAAAAGTATTATTTTAATGACAGGTTGAGCATGGTGTTAATCAAGTAACATAGACAACATTTCTGTATTATATACATATATGTGAATGTACAACCAACCTCAACATTTACAATTCAATGCTCATGAATTGCAACATACTAAATCTTGAATACTATAACTATGTTTCTGGAATATTTCCCTAAATATCTATTCCGTATTTTTTATTAAATTTATTAGAAAATGTCTTGTTTTTGTCACTAGTACGAAAGGAAAACTATATAATTAGACGACGAAAAAATAGGCAACTTGTCCGAACAGCTGATTAAAATGTATAAAATAGTTGATCGCAGTGTCTTGTGGGTCATACAGGTATAAAACTTTTTATTGCACTTTAATATTTTTATTTTTTATTTGATGTAAATAAACTAATTAAAAGAATGAAGGACTTGTGGTGAAAACCAAACTATTTGTTAACTATGATACTAAGTAGTACTAACGAGACAGAACTCTCTGTTCAACAAGAAGAAATGTGAGCTAAAAAGTTATTTGATATCGATAAAGTAAAATCATGTGCTGTTATTGGAATTATTTAAAAGATGGCAGAACAGTGTTTTTCTTTCGATTAAAAAAAAACTGACAATCGATAAATTTGAATTTAAATGAATTATCTGTCTTTCTTTCTAGGTGGCGTGAGAGTGAATTTCTTTGGAAATATAGACTTCGGCCACCAGAGGAGTCACCAGCTAACAGATGATTGTGTTTTCATCATCACAGATCTTGTTGAACGCTTCATTGACGCATATCGTACTTTGTAAACAATTTTTAATTGTAAATAAAAGGCTAACTAAGTAAAATATCTTTTTTTTAAATTATCACACGTGTAAAAAGCTTTACAATGAAGGCAGCACCTCATCAACGATTAGTTATGGTTGGAGATAGAGATGGGTAAGTTTATTGTCATTGGAAAGGTTATATTCAACGTTTGTTTATTAAAAAAATGATGTTGACTTGGAGTTTAAGCATACATATTGTTTCTTAAATAATAAAAATACATTTCCCATAATTTTTAATTTAATATATTATTCCAGATTAAAAGAACTTCTCCGACGTCGACTTGTTGAGTGCGGTTGGAGAGACGAAGTCAAGATCATTTGCAAAGAATTGATAAAAGAAAAAGGACATGATATTACATACGATAATATGCTATCTACAGTAACGACGAGAGCTAGGAGTTTAGTTCCTGATTCAGTTAAAAAGGAATTACTCCAAAAAATTAAAAGTCAACTACTAGCTCAAGAAGAGAAAATAAAAATGTAAATACTCTGTACAAACTTTCATTGTAATTAAGGTATAATAATTAAGACTGTTTTTAATAATGTATGATACTAATATTTGTGAATACCTAAGATTATCACTATCATTTTATTTTTATTAATTTTTTTATTTATTGTTAATAATTAAGTATAATGAATAAATATTTAAAAGTTTTATTAGAGATTTTTACGATTTTTTTATTTCATATTATAAGATACAATGCTTGACAATTGATTATACAGACAAATATAGTGCCTCATGAATATTTTACAGTGACAGCATTTTTTTTCATCTTATTTACTATTTATAATTTTATTGTGTGAGATAAAATTTACAAAAATTATTTAGAAACGACAAGTAACATTATAAGTGTTCTTTTTTTTATCAAAGTTCGATTTTCAGAAAATGATTCATAAATCGATTTATTAAATACATACTTTGAATTCTCTAGGAATTATAGTTATTGTTACGATGATGAATACAGTGGTCTTATGACTTCACTTTTCACATTTTAATTTTTTTTAGTATTTTCCATAGCATACTTAAACTCAGTCTAAAGATGCATCAGACATTTGTGTTTATTTACATGGACTATATGTATATTAATGTTAATATTTAATAAATTTATCATTGACTTTACTGTACAAAGTATTTTTATATTTCTGTATATACAAGACAATAATAACTTATTAAAACTCCTCCATTAAAAATAAAATAACTTTTTCAATGAATTAGCGAGTTTTAATAAGTCAACTCGATTCTCTTTTATATTATATTTTTATTTAATTTATTTGAATGAAACTATTAATTTGTAAAAACATCTAACAGTGAATAGATTTGTTTTGACCTCTGTGAAACTCACCGCATAATCACATTTACTTCACATCATGAGTGAATTGATATTGTAACATGCAATCAGTCAATTTAACGATTTGGTAATGCATCAGTTACGCAGTAAAATTAAAGTCACACTCAACAGCTCAACCTCGTGATAATATCAAATAAAATTTTATGTCAAACTACATTTAGCTTTTTACGTTTATTAGACTTTGGTCTGAATTCATTTTCACTGTCGTCAACATCGAATAAAGGAACTTATTCATTTAGCAATTAGCGATGAGAAACCTTGTAAACATTTTGAACAAGTATTAGATGAAAATTTACTACAAAACTCACTTGTAGAATACATACATGTCATTTTTATTGAAAAGTAGTCTTTAACTATCATCGACTCTCTTATGGAAAATATGATATTTGCATGAAAAAAAAAATTGGGAAGAGATTTTGATTACTTTGGCTGCATCGAGAAAAATAACTCCCAAGGTACTCGACTTTCATTGGTATTTTTTTTGTTCATGATCGCTTGGCTAAAGTTTCGAACACTCCGCAATGTCCCGGTCGCACGATTCCATGATATTTCCCTGGGGATCTGGAGCAAAGCTGGAGTTCTGCAAAATGAGGAATAGAAAGAAGGAAATTTTGCAGAGAATAGTGGAATAAGAAAGAAAGACAGAGAAAGAGAAGGATGTAAAAAGATAGAAGAAAGAGTCAACATCGTCACAAGGAATGACTCGAGTCCGCACAGGGAATTCTTATAGAGCTTTAATGAAGTGTGCATTATATATTTTTTACTCCATTTCTAGTCTTCATTCTTCAATTTTCTCGCTGAGTAAATCTCTTTCAGATTAAAAGTGTGTCCCTTATTTTGTTTTCTTTTTTCAATCTTCAACTAGAACATTTTTAATTGCTCGAATGTTACTTAGTTCTTCTAACCTTGGCGTGAACAATTATGACTCAAATCTAACTGCCTCTTGAAATGTTTCTTGGTTTATCTTTGAAATTATTTTATTGTAATTTAATTATGATCAGATAACTTTTTCCGATACAGAGAGTCTCGTGCATTGTACCTGGGTCAGAAACTCATGGATGCAAAGAAACATCAAATTATCGGAAAGTGATTAGAAATATATGGATAAATTTTATAGTGAATTTAAATTAAATCAAACTCGATGTTTTTTTAATAGTAAAATCACTCACTTACACCAGTCAATCTTATTTTATGATATGTTAAAAACTAAGAAAAAGGACACATTCAATTCCACGGAATTTTATTAGAATGTATTTAATAATATAGGATGTCCTCTGCACGAATTGACATTAAATTTCTCGTGAATTTAAAAAATATCAAAGAAAAATATGCTTTAAAGTAAATTTGCCACTCTACAGTCATGCAAAGGTCGTCCTAATATTTAAACTTGGACTATTTATTTATGAATTATAAATTAACTTTTGGTAATCATTTAATCATTAATATTCAAATACAAGCTGACTTTACATTCTAAATGTAACATTCTTACAGTTTTATTTATTTATTTTTGGTGAATTTTTAACATTAATTTAATTATTGTTCTTGAGCATAAGATCATAAGATCCTCATTTTCAATAAGAACCCTTATTAATTTATTCGGCAGTTTCGATTAAAGGTGAATAAACTTTGTTCATAATACTCGACAATTTCTTCAAATATATTACATCATACGAGATCATATTTAATTTTCTTTTATTTTTATATCTAAAAATGTATTAGATAAACAAATATTAAAAAAATTTTGTATCCTTAACTATAGACAAGTATAAACATTAGATAATTTAATTTTTTTGTTTTTTTTTAAATTTTTAAGGTAACCAGACCAATAAAAAATAAAATCATCACGTGTGTTATCTCATGAAGAAATGATATAAAAAACTGGAGTATCCTGAGCTTATTTTCATGGCTGATCGAACTGTAATTAATAATTTCAAATATTTGTGAATATTTTGTCTTATTTACGAACAGATGAGAAACGTTTAGCATTTTCTAATTAGTTTTTTATCATTAAATAATACAGAATAGATGTGCTTTTTAATGACACATCATCATGAAATGGGAAATAAATTAAGGAGATAAAATTACATCTCAGTGTTCTCCTCAGCTTCTTCCTCCACCTCCGGAAGTGTATAAACTGCGGATATAGATTTATTAATATGATGATGATGATGATCTTCAAGTTTAATAGCAGACTTACAATCTCGCGTAACGTCAACTTGATTATATGAGTCTTTTAAAATATTCATTTCATTTTCATGAGTAAATATACTACCAGGTTGTTCATTACATAACGTTTCTTCGACTGCATTTCTATGACTACAGTTACTTGATGGAAATTGTCACGATGTCAGTGGGAATGGTTCAGATGTAAGTTCATCGACGCTGGCGCTTGGTTTTACCGATTCTTGTTTTTCATTTTTAAGGAAAAACCGATGTACTATTTCATCTTCAATTATGTTGAAGCACATGGCAGTCAAAGCCATTCCTATTATTATGTAGCATGAACAAAACCATAATGTAATATTCCTCCAACTACTCATGTTGTTCTGATAGTATAAGCCAGGAGCCATGTCGCCGAAACCGATTGTGGTCAAGCTCATGAAACAGAAGTAGCTAGCATCTAAAACATTTAAAACCACATATTTATTTTTTCTCTATCGATCTTGAAAATGATTACTCAAAAATAATTGACATATATTAAATAGATAATTTTTTGTTAAAAATAAATTTAAATACCCATCATATCCCAGCCTTCTAATCTGTACAAAGTAAAGGCTCCAGCAATGATGTAGCACGACATCACTCCGAAGCAGATGCCAACAGGCGCGATGATAGTAACATTGGGCCTATCCCCAGAACCTAAACTTGATACTTCGTCTTTTGGACTAGTTTTGATCTCTACAGAACTGGGAAAGGTTGAAGTATTATCCCGGAGATAAAATGCCCCTTGTACGAACTGCTGCTGTTGTTGTTGATTCATTTCTTCTTGTTGACGTTTCCTTCTCATTCTTCTTTCTTTTTCCTTCGAAAGTAAAACATACACTAGCGTTAAATGAATTTCTTTTATTTGTTGTTCATCAAGATATTTATTAATTTTAATTTTATTATCTAAAAAGAGCAGCTCATAATATGAATTTATTTTAAAATTAATTAAGAACAAGAATAGCTTTATAATATACGTTTGAAGAATACATTGAAAGAACAAGATAATTTATTTACCTGCATTCTTCTTTCATCATAGCAACAGTAACCGCATTTTGAACACAAACAACAGCAGCAAGCTCGTGTAAAAACACCTCTAGCACAACGTGATAGCAATCCACCTGCACTCGACAAATATACTAGTGTCAAAGGAATTCCTATAAAGGCATATATCATCGTGGCTATTTTTCCCCAATTTGATTTTGGTGCAACTCTTCCAAAACCTGAAAAAATAATAATTACATTAGATATCAGCTTTATATTGCTAAATAATTCTTGCAATATTATTGAATTTTTCACAATTGAGAAAATGCATAAATGAATTTAATCAGCTCTGAATAATTTAAAAGTATTATTAATTAATAACAAACGCCAGACTAATTTATTAATTAAACCTATTGTTTAACAAAGAGTATGGATTAATTAATTTTATTCATAATACCTTGATGAAACGAAACAAATTCCAAAGCTTTCACATTACTTATATGTTATCAAAATATTTTAATTACATAATAACAAATTTGATTGACTATTTGAAATGTTTTTTTTTCTTTATAATTTATGATATTATTATCATTAATAAAAATACTGATTGCAAATACGCCAGATTCTCAATAATTGATGAAAATCAAATGCTATTTTATAACAATCAAAATACGTATTCACAAGATGAATGTTTTTACAAAGAGTAATCAATGAAAACAGCGTAAAATCAATTTTGTAAATTTAATTATCGATTCATAACAACAATCGTAACATGTAAGTATTCTATTTGAGACGGTTGTACAATGACATATTGATAATCGTTGGCACTGTGGGTACAGTTATATTCAATATAAAGATTGAAATATCATTAGCTACGTCAGTCTCTTAGACGATTTTTATAGTTTATATTATGTATCTTAAAACGACAATAAGATACTGTTTGTATTTTATTTGCATATCTTTTTTATTTCCTGTGGTTATTAATTCAACCACGTTAATAGTAAGTTGTTAATTTTAAAGAATCATATAAAAGAAAATAATATTTTTAAGTGTTTTTAACGATACTCATTATCTTGTAAGTTTATTTCTTTCAATGCATAGTGTTATAGTACATCAGAAAATTATTATATTGGCATAGAAAAATTTTCATATTAAATCCAGCATAAACTTGTTTATAGAATATTTTTATTCATCATCATAAAATTTTGATGTGATTTTTTTCTTTTAATGCCTCTTATTTCTTCCAGAAAAAGCAATATCATCTTCCAAACAGAATCAAAAGACATGTAGTAAGTTTAATGTAATAATATCAATACAGAGTTACTGTTACAAAAGTTTAAATGACATTTCAATAATAAATCATCAATAAAATAAATCATTGTCATGACCATAAAGCTTTTGTAACAGACTGATGTGATTAAATGAATTTTAATTGCTATAAAATGTTTTTAAAGGACCAATATGACGATAATACTGAAGCCAATGATTTCGACTATTTTCAATCCAGTGAGCAATTTGATAATGAAACAAGGAGATCAAATACCAACAGTAATATCAATAATAACATCAACAATAATATTAATACTATCGATAATTCTCTCGTAAGCCCTGGAAACTTCATTCAATTCGGACATCAAAATCCGCCCTTTGAATCTGATATTAGTGTTGATCATTACATTGATAGAAATGTATTGGAAAAACTTCGGATATGCGATATCTTCTGGGAAAATATGATTTACATCATGGGCTATATGTTACGATTACCATCGAGCTTTTTGACAATCGATGAGTATATCTCTTTAAAACTAATTTACAATGCAGTGAAACAAAAGAGAGTTTATTTGTACAATCTCTTGCCTCTTATAAGTGAAATGCCTGACAAGCATATAGCAGTACAATTTACAGAATTCATAAATAATATTGAGTCCAGTGTTCCAATCTATATGAAATCAGCAGTAGAGTTTTGGAGTACGCAGTTAAGTGAAAATAAAATAGATCAGAATATATGGATTATGATTGAATCAAAAAGAGAATTATTTGATCTGACTAAAGGACTTTCAAAAAAGTATATAAAATCGATTTTAAATATAGAAATGCAAGATGAAATAAAACATTATGATTTGGAATCAGAAATGACTGAAAAATTAATGGGACCAGTTTATGTGAAGATTTTTCAACAACTTTCTTTGTATCAAGTACCACTTTCACAGCAATTATTTGGTTCAATCCTGAAAAATATACCAAATGAATATTTAGATCCAATCTTCGAAGAATATAACTCATTTATTTCTGAAGAGATGCTGACAAAAATAATTCCACATTGGGTTCATTATAATCAACCAATAAATACTACCAATCCGTATAACTTGGTTTCAAGTGTAATTGAGAAAATTTGTGGAGATGATATAGTTGCTCTAAAGATCAAAAAAGCTTTACTATACATAAGAGATGATTTAAAGATTAGAAGAAAAGAAGCTATGAATTATAATAATGCAGAAAACTTGAACCCAATTAAGGAAAATGGTCTAAATGTTGATCTTTTGTTCAACTTAGCAATTCCTTGTCAGGCCAACGACCGAGTTGTTGGAATGAAAAAGCACCTCAGGGAGTTGTTATCCAACCCCAATGCTGAAATCCTTGTGGGATTGAATAGATATAAATATAACACTCCACAAGATTTCTTGATGGCATTACTTGCTAGATTGCAAATAACATTATCACCAAGTGAAATAGACACTGAAAGAATTGTAACGATATTTTTATCAAACCTTTTGTTTCAATATCATTCTAATGGCAACTTGAAACCAAAGACTAGACCATCATTGTGGTTGATTATGGATATGATTAATACATATGAAGATTCTCCTATTTCACAATCAATAGATATTATACTTAATACTTTCATGAATGATTTGTATCACTGGGATTTAATAGAGAAATTTATTGTGCCTGAAATAGAACCCAACATTGAACCGGATCATTATATTTTAATTCTATTGAATAATTTAAGAAATGTTCTCGTGGAGAAGAACATTTTTCTATCACTGATAAATAATGTTGAAATTTTGATTAATCATGTTAATGAAGAGCTGAACATTAAAAATCAGAATCAACGATTAACTAATATACCACCCAACCATTTCCAAGAACAAAGAGACTACCCCTTAAATAACAAGATACCTTTAAAGAAGTCAACTCCTCTGGTAATCTCATCACCCATGGAACCGTTAGTGTTACCGCCTGTAGATCCATTAATGTCAACAGCTCTGCTAAACCCAAATACTGCTTATGCGATGACAAACCCTCAACATCCATCAAAGATTAAAATCAAAAATTTACCCAAAAAAATTCGACATAAACTTCCCTTAAAGCATGTACGCAGGTTTCCATTAAAATTTCTTAAAAATAAAATTTTTCCTAAAATATTGCCGGCTCTAGTAAAGCATCTACCACTTTCAATTCACTTAATGAATAACTTCAAAGAAAAATCAGCAACGAACTCTAGTCAAAAAGGTAGTGTTGAACCTTTGCCTCCAATTAGTGCACTGCCAACCAACATGTCAACTTTACCACCTGGGGTGGAGCCTAACGAATGCATTATTACTTTTCCTGATGCTAAAACTTTGAAAATATTACCTCCAGTCTTTACATCAATGGATAATTTAGAAAACTACGATAATGCTATAATTTTACCTTCGATGGTATCTCTGCATGAAAAATCAAATAATTATGATATCTTAGAACATGTTGCTCCAGAGTGTACTCATACTTTGAACACATATGTAAAAGAACCATTAACAGTTATATTTGGAAAGAAGTATGCTGAATCTCTTCTGGGAAAGAATTTTGCTTCTCGACATCCAACGAGACTATCTGCTTTAATATCATTGATAAGATCCGCATTAAAGAATCCAGACATTATAGGAAACCCAAGTATTCTGAATAATTTATCATTAGTTTTAGCATCATTAGAACTCATTTCTCCTTATCTATTTCTTCCACTTATGACACGAGGGCAGAATTTTGATGAACAAATTATTTGGTCAACAGTAAGTCTTGCTGATGAGTCCATAAATATATTGGGTCGATTTCCACCTGAATACCAAGAATGTGGAACAGTAACAATGCCATTAGTAAATCCTATTTATTGGCTACTTCCAATTGATAGGAATTCTGATCCGTTTCCAACTTTAATGCCACAGTTATCAGCTAATAGTCAATATAGTCAATACAGCACAGAACTTGAACCACTGATTAATGTTTTTCAACTGACAAGAATAAAGTCTTTACTTGGTCACGACATAAAAATGAAAAGATTTCCTAACAGAGGTGCACTGTTTGTATGGACATTATTCAAGCTTTTAGATGTGGAAGAAGTTAAATTAAATGAGTCACTTTTTAATCTCATCAAAAAATACTGGAAAGTTATTCAACAACCAGCTGCATGTATTAAAATTCCTAAAGATATTATATTAGGTGAAGCACGGGAGAAACACGGAGAATGGGCAGTAGATCTAATAGGATTAATGAAAGCTCTTCCTCAACCTTCTGATAAATCTCAAAAAAATATGTTTATTATTATAAAAAAATTTCTATCAAGAAATAATTTACTTGAAGAATTAAATATTCCTCTTCCACCTGCAAAAATGACTCGAGGTGAATTTTTGCACGAAATTTTCAATGCTGCTTTAATTAACAAAAATATTAATATTGATGTGCACACTAAACTTGCTATCCAATACTACAAAGATAAAGTACTTCTTAACAATAGTCTTCCTGTTGGTTGGATATGGAAACAAATCTTTCCAAGTATACAGATTATGATCAAAGATATAAATAATGTACATGTTGGACAACTAATAGAACATCATTTACCATACGAAAAATTGTCTACTGAGAAGAAAAAAGTTTACAACAAATTAATGGATTATTTCCACGACAATCCACAATACTTGGAGGTAGATAAAGATTCTTTCATTGAAGAGCACCGAACAACAGGAAAGTTTGTTCGAGGACTTTTGGAGCATCTTGGTAAGAACCAAGATATTGATGAAGAAATGAGGCGTAATATTTATTTGCTGATACCAGAAGTAATAATTTCTGAAAAGGATGAAGAAAAGTGATGTATTTAAGTTATTAATCAATAATGATTTTAAATGTCTTCTTTTTATTATTCTGTTAGAATATATTTGAAATTTATTATTCTTACATAAACATTTATTAGAATTATTGTCAATAA